AACAGGGAAGAGCAACAAGACTTTCACCCAAGGGCCCTTACAACAGGGCTACATCACCACACAACCTGCAGGGAACCGTCTGCATAGCCAGGAGAGCTAGACAGACAGGACTCGCTGGCCATTCACAGGTCTGGCTCCTAAACAGCATCATCTGGGATGCAGGTGTTAATTCCATTCTCCAAGGCAGGTCTGGGTAAAATATGACCCACGAGATTATTTCATCTGGCCTACAGGCAGGCGCCCACCAATTAATGGCATCTAGCCTAGGCTGCAGCTGTCCCTGCTGCACTCTGCCAGCATTCAGCTCAGCTCCCTCACCCTCCCGTAGCTCCTCCTCCTATTCCGGCTGCAGCACTCCAGGCAGCAGGAGGGGAAACAGGGGCAGGTAGGGGGAAGCTGCAGCTGGGTGGGCACACAGAGCATTAGGCTGGTGGGAGTGTGGAGTCTGGACTGGCCCAGTTCCATTGCATGGGACTCCCCGTGGTTCATGTGCAGCTCCTGAGACTTACTTGCCACTGGGGGGAAGCCCTGCACGAAGGAGTCAGTGACCTTCCCCACTATCTGCCACCACATGCAGCTCCCAGGACTCCACTGAAAGTGGTGGGGAGCTTTGCACAATGGAGCCAGGCCAGCTCGGCTCCACTCCCTAGCAGAGTCTTGGGAGCTATACATGGTGGCAGGAAGAGAGGCCAGGCCACCAACTCCATTGCATGGGTCTGTCCCCGCCACGGCATGTGGCTCGGGCCAGGTCCCAGGAACTGCGCGCGAGACATGGGGAACTCCGCATAATGAAGTTAGGCTGGCTTGGCCCCGCTCCCAGAACTGGCTGGAGCTGCATGCTGCTGGGGGACCACAAGTGCTGTCCATGAGTGCCCTGAGGGCTCACTGCCTGCTGCTGCTGCCGCCACCAGTGGAGGCTGTGTACTATGCAACGGGGTGTGAGGAGGGACTCCCACATGCACACCCCACTATATCCATACACACACAACCACATCCTCCCATACACCCCACACCTTCTACCACATGCCCACATCTTTGGGGGGGGGGAATGGTTGCAGCCCTCGACAGCTCACCAAAACTCATTAAGTGGCCCTTCAGCTGAAATAATTGCCCACCCATGCTCTAAGACCTTGTCCTACTCCCACCTGTGACTGATACCAAATAGCTTTCATCCAGCCACAGTTTCAAATTAGGCTAGTGGCAGCTAATGGCTTTGGTAATGCAGGCTGCAGATCTTTACATATGACCAGAAACAGCAGCACCCCTGAAGCTGGTAGACCTCAACTTTGCTTATAAAAGCCAAGCCCTTACCTGGTCACGGTGGAGTGGCACCAGCTCTGCAGATCCATTATTTGGGGTTGGCACAACTTTAGCCAATGTGGCTTTCTTAGGACTGGGTTCCTGAAAGACACAAAACAGGTGCATGCTCTGTAAAGCAGATCAAGCACACTGGGGCTCATGGCAGCCAGAAGAGATCCCTTTAAGATCCAGGGTGCACCAGGACCCATCTCTTAAATCTCAAGCAGGCATTGTTAAGTCACTAGGAAGGCAGGCCCTTCACAACAGGGAGGGGCTTTGACTTTGCACAGGCCTGCTGCTGCATGGACTCTGTGACAGAGATGGAGACATCCACACAGTTCAAACCAGGAATCCTTTGGTGCCACTAAGTGAGGGCTTGTTCCTGAAACAAAGTGTGCCCAAGACACAAGAGGGACTTATCACCTGAAACCCAGAACCCATTCTCACAGAACACACACCATCATTTTGAAAAGGCAAGAGCCACAGTCATGTGTCAGTGCTCTCCCTTCCACTCAAGGCTTACCAAGCTAGAGTAACATTCATGCAGGGCTTGTCTGGTGGCTTAGAGATCCTGCAACCTGGGATCACTAGGGGAAGTGCTACAAATTCTTCATGGGAAGCCAAGAAGAGCCTGAATTGAATTCAAACTATTCATAAGTCTGGTCTATTTTAAATATTCTTTTTGTTAACAAATTTCCTGTTCAAAACGTGGGTGTTTTATTTTCAAACAAAGCAGAGAAGGGACTGACTCCAGGCTGGGAAGAGGGGGGCAGGAGCAGACTGGCATCTTCTGCTTCCTACAGGTATTAGGCAGGCACTGTCAGGAAGTCTTCCTGATGCTTGGGATTTATTAAGTAACAGAATAGCTCTCCAAGGGGAGTGATGGAAACCCCTGTGGCCAGAACTAGATAAATCACTGGGGAAGATGCTACTAGAAACAATGCTGCCTTGGTCTTCAGGGTCAAGCAAGTGGAATAGATAGTACCCAATGGGACCAATCTGCAGTTTCTGCTGTTATAGTAAAGCCTGTACTTGTCTGGGTCAAGATTTAGTGACACTGGGATGGGCGTGAATAGAACAGTTCTTAAGCATACCGCTGTGAGAAAGGAGGGTGCAGCTGCTTAGAAGAATGGCTTAAAAGAGAATAGGTACAACAAAAAAGTATTATAAACAGCTGACATGTAACGACTCCAAGGTGCTACTTCCCACAAGACAGGGAGCTTCAGATTGTCAAAATCGGAAATGAAAACATTGTTTCCAATCACGGAAGGCTCTGCCCTGCCATGTCTTAGACACGCTGACCAAAGGTCATGGGATTAATATCCGGCACATATATGTGGCTGTGAAAGTCCACTCGCACCCCAGTGAAACCAGTGGAGAGGAGCCTACAGATAGCTTGACAGGAGCCAGCAGCTTTTTAGGAAAAAGGGAGGGGGGGGGGGTTTGTCTTAAAAAAGGAAAAGGGAAGAGAGAGAATCAAACGACTTAACCCTCCTCCTGACCAAGTGCATCGGTCACCTCAGAGCTTAGGTCATTTGATCTGCCACCGCCCCAGCATCTAACAATCTAACAAAAACATCCAGAAGAGCCCAAAGGCAAAGCACAGAGGGCAGAGGAATCTTCACCCTTCCTGAGCACTGCTGCTGCAGCCTGGCTGGGCCAGGGACACCAGCTACTGAGCCAGAAATAAAATGTGAATGTGCCTCTTTGAACTCATCTTGCCCTATCCCTTGCAGTGAAGCAGAAATGTTCCCAACATCTTTTTCTTTAAGGCTTTATCCCAAATTATATCACTTCAATTCCAACCCCGATGGAAATAATCTGCAACCTGACAGATGTCAGAGCATTTTCCTCAATCAGTCTTAATTTTTCTGTTGCTCATTTTCATCCTATCTTTATTCTGTGGTGCAAGATCAACCTCCCCACTTTCTTGCCATTTGCCCCTTTCAACTCCTTCAGCTCAAGGCTTCAAATTTTACAGTTAATAATAAAGATAAATCTATTCCATTCCATGTACAGAGACCAAGGGCTATGAGCAATCACAGCTTGCAGTCCAAGGCGCTCTCAAGCTGCCAAATCAGGAACACTGTCAGGACACTGGGAAAAAAAATGTAAGGAGCCAAGCTCACAGTTTTGGCCATCAGTTTGAGGGGCTCCTTTGTCTGGGGGACTTCTCAATCAAAATAAATGCCAAGCTATATTTCAGAGCCTGGCTAACCAAGGCCAACAAGATCATTTCTGCCAAGTTGATTTACATTAGAGGATGTATAACCATTTCTCAGACAAAGCTAAGGAGACAGTTAAAGGAACTATCAAAGAAGGGGCAAACCAGTCAGCACCGCTACCAACAGGTGGTTAACTTGCAACCAGGGCTTCTCAGCCCTGCGGCACCTGCCACCAGGGCAAACCCAGACAACACAGTTGTCACATAGGGCCTCTGGGTCTGGCCTGCCCAGCTGCTTGCCACTCCCTTCAGCCCATCCCTGGGCTGGAGACCCCTCGCTCCATCCCTGCCCTTCCCTTCCTTCCGCTTCCTGCTCCGAACCCTCGGCCAAGCTCTGCAGTGACGAGGCTGCTGTCACGTGGCAGCACTGACAGAGGAAGGAAGCGATGCCCGTTGCTGAGCCACCAGCCCTACTTTGCAGGTGGCTGCCCTTCCCCTGGGGGTGGGAGGGGAGAGCGGCTGGAAGGAAGGCACCAGGGCAAAGCCTTTGGGCAGCTGCTGGCTGGGTGGCGATGCCTGCGGTGCCAGCATGAGCCCCCTGCACCGCGGGGCCCTGGGCAGCAGCGTCCCGGGGGCTTGGAGGATGTGACCCCCACCGGGGGGCTGCCCTGGCAGAGACCTGCCCGCCCGCCCCCGGCCAGGACCCACCTGGGGGCTTTGAGGGCGGAGGGACGGGGAAGGAAATCTCCCACGTGGCGACCTTTGACCCGGCTACGGCGACCCGCGACCCTGCCCCACGCGGCGACACCGTGACGTACCCTGACGCAGGTGAGCGCGCAGTGCGCGTGCACGGACCAGAGCCCCGAGAGCGCGGTGAGCAGGTGCGCGACCCCGATGGCGGCGAGCGCGAGCAGCGCGGCCTCAGGCGGAGCGCGCTCCGCCTCGGGCTCCCCCGCGCCGGGTTCCCCTACCCCGGCCCAGGCGGCCCAGACACGCGGCCCCCACAGCCAGAGCCAGGCCGGGTACAGCCCCGCCACGAAGGGCACGACGGTGACGTG